TTGCTGTTTTAGAATATTGGCTGCTTGAAAGTTAATTTATGTGTGGCTGATTCTTCTTCAAAAAATTTTAATTAAAAGGTATTTAATTAAAAAAAAATATGGAATCCCATTTTAATATTGAGTCACTTCTATTTTGGATGTTTGTATTTTTTGATGTTTGTTGCTCTATTACGCAAATAGAAGAGAATAAGAGAGCAAATAGAAGAAAATAAGAAGAAATAGAAGAGAGCATAAGAATTTTCATAATAATAATAATTAAAAGAAAAAAATTTTCATCGCAAGTGGCAATTCGGTTCAAAATCCCTTCGTTTCTGTACCTGTTAATACAACTTAATATTATAAATATGTATATATATCTGTTACATATACGATAAAGTGCTCCCTGGTTCATTATTTTACGTACCAACAGATTTATAAATCGTATAAATCGTCTGGTCTATAATTGGTACGTACAAACAACTCTTTATCTCGGGAATGTGAAGGTTTATTTTGTTAACAATATACAAATTTAATTATGTAAAACTCTCCCTCTTCAAGAACGGTTAGCTGGTAGATAACTCAATTGTTGAGTTAAGCTCGCCATTTTATAAGTTTGCGCAATTATTGTATTATATTAACTGTGTGTACAATAAATAATAAAGAAAAAAAAGTTTTCAATACGTTTGATGTAGACGTTTATCTAAACAGCCTTTAAATTCAGCAACAAACTATCAGGGAATGGGGATGAAGGCTAAAGTTTTATTTTTAGCGCTATAACATTTCCTTAAATAAGGTAACGGAAAAGGTAAAAGTTATTTACGGTCATAAATTATCTTGCTGCAAATTAAAATTGCTAACAACATCACCCTACTACATGTAATTCACAAAAGCAACGTTTAATTACGGGACACGCATCGAGCCAATAAATGTAAATGAAATGATTTATTTTTAAAGGGTCAGTTTATTGAATGGGGCTTTTATTTCGCTTTCTCAACGAAAGTGCGCACACAGTTAAGCTATTATGTATAACTGCGAATTCAGCTCGTCCACAAATCTAAGCAATAAAAAAAAAACTCCTGGCAAGCGTGGCAGAACACCAGCCAGATGATCAGATCTGGTTAAGGAAGCGGTTGGTGGTATCTATACCATGGGGTCTATGCCACCCATGACCGAACACTGTGGAGGAAAGTCACATGTGGATGCGATCCTCAGCAGTGAGGGAACGATGGAACTCCAATAGATTTTAATTATTTTCTTCGCCAAATAGTACGATTTCAGCCTATTACCGTACCATAATTTACTGATGAAACTCCGATAAAAAAAATTGCATTCGCTCCAAAATCGAGTTCATATCTCCGTATGTCGCGTACAGATTCTCAGAATACCAACTAAATTGACATCAGATAAACGTTTCGGGCTTGTACTTGCACCGAAAGTGAGCTAACATTGTTCAAAGTGGGACAATTGCCAATAAACGAGTGGATGTTTCACATGACGTCACCGCACATGTCGTGAAGCGAAAAGCCTTCGTATTTGCATAGAACATGTGCCGACGCGGCTTAAGCATCAGTCTACCGTAAATGTCATGTACTGTTGATTAGTTATAGTAAACGATTAGCTTGGCTTTATGCAGAAATTTATTGAATACAATAGACAAGTAAGTACCAGTGCAGTAAGTAAGACAAGTAAGAAAGTTTTGAAGTCGTCGTGGCCTAAAGGATAAGACGTGCGGTGCATTCGTGTTGAGCGATGCATCGGTGTTCAAATCCCAGGCAGGTACCAATTTTTCTAATGAAATACGTACTCAACAAATGTTCACGATTGACTTCCACGGTGAAGGAATAATAACATCGTGTAATAAAAATCAAACCCGCAAAATTATAATTTGCGTAATTACTGGTGGTAGGACCTCTTGTGTGAGTCCGCGCGGGTAGATACCACCACCCTACCTATTTCTGCCGTGAAGCAGTAATGCGTTTCGGTTTGAAGGGTGGGGCAGCCGTTGTAACTACCTATACTTGAGACCTTAGAACTTATATCTCAAGGTATTTTTTGCAATTTAGAAATAATGCAAGCATTAAGTGTTTAGATTTAAAGTGCAAGTTGAAATTACTTTGACGTAGTTTTTCATATGCGTATCTAAGTAATAATTACCATAGATGAGAGTTTCGCTGAGAGAAATTCTTAAGGAACGCGGAGTTCGCTCTTTTCAAAGTTAAGATGCCATAATTTTGAGCTGCTCGATCTCATGACCAACATTCAATTAAATAACATGATTCGAAGTCTCAAGAGTATTTATGTGGTTGCTGTTTCACAATTTCACAGTTCACCATTCAAATTGAAACGCATGATTTCTTAGGCAGAAATTGGCAAGACGTCGGTAATCCCAAAGGCGGCATTCACATTTGTGATGTCTATGAGTTGCAGTAACCACTTAACACCAGCTGGATCGCGATCGCCCAGTCATCAAGAACAGAAAACAACGTGTTTAATACAAAATTTGTTCCCAATGTTAGGATTCCTAATGCATAGTAATAAACCTAGATCTTGCGTCTCAACGACCATGTTACGAAATTTTCGAATGAATATAATAATTACAATATTCAAAAACTTCCAAACATATCTCGAAATGCAAGCCTAAACAAACAATTAAGCCAACAGACAACCAGAATGTTTAACATCTCTTCGTTCGAAACAAATCAATAGACTAAATATTATGTCTTCGCTCGTTTAGTTTATACGCGCCGTGAGTTCACCTCATAGACAAACAACGTTCATTGTTGAAGCAAAATTTCATATGTCAACTCCAAAAATAATAAAACTAGGCCAGAAACACAACATCACTCATGACTGATCAAACATTCCTGACGTTTCAAGGTGTACGGTTTTATTGTTGCAAAAACTTTATTCCTAGTCCTACACTTGAAATAAAATGACGTAACCGCCGAGTTATTTATGGCTATTCGCAAAAACGTCCACTAAACCTGACCTATGCTCATTCCAAACGACCATACTGTATTAGCTCAATGTATTTCGGCCAATAAAAACACGTACGGAGAGAAATTGCCTCGTACACACAATAAAACCATTACGATTACTCATACAGGCATATAAATCGATGGTAATAAATGGTCGTGGTTAAACCAGAGGATGTAGGTATAGAAATAGCTAATTAATATGTACGTTGCTTAGTTACATCTTGTACTTGATACGCGTTACATGAATATTGATGCAGGCTGCCTGTCAACTGGGATATATGAGCCGGTTCAATTGACAGATTGACAGGACACTTTTTTTCTGACAAGGCATTAAGTTATTGTAATCATGATCTAAATGCAACTATAAATATTAACTACATTTCCATGAAATATACTAGTCTGACAACTTAACCTGGTTTTTTAAAATAGTATTTAGGGAGATTAGAATCGAGAATGGCATCGAGCATCGGCAATCGAGAATGGCAATTTTTTTGTGAACGAACCTAAGCACACTGAATTTCGAAAAGTACGCAAGACATTCTCGGACTACTATAGGGTTCCTTAGGTACCCTAACCAACTATCCATAAATCCACAATGTATTGAATCGCATCCACGAATTATGTACAGAACTTATCCTATGCCGATTGTCGAGTGTTGTGTCAGGGATTGTTAATCACTTTTCCGACGCCGAAGCCAATTTGAATTCTCCAGATGTCCACCGACTCTGTGGAAAACCCTTGTACGACTCTAGAGCCATCAAACAATAACAACTTTAGAGTTAATATTCCGTACGTAACTCTACAGAAATATAAGAGTAATTCACAAATACCTCACACGTTGTTTCTCTACAACAAACATCACTTTGGCAGTCAAAATGTATTACTGAATACTTAGTAATTTGAATGCGAATGGGTATTTGTAGAATTTTGCGTTTTCTTCTTACGTACGCAGCAATGGTTTTTTTCTTTTGAGTGTTTATTTGACTACTTTATAGAGTTCCGTTTCGGGCAGACATTTACTGTTGTAATATAAAAACGGAACTTAGAACTCATGTCTCTAGGTAATGTCTATGGGCTCCGGTAACCACTTAACATCGGGGTTATGAACTCGTTTGATGGGTGAAGTTAATAACTTATGGTTAAGCAACAAAAAATGTGTGACTGGGCGATACAAGGATTTCTTCATGAACTCATCTCCTAATACTACCCCACATTCCGAACACAAGGAATGAGTACCCATTGATGCAACGTCCAAGCCTTAGGTACGCCTATACTCTTTAGGTATTCCTATTATTTTTTGACCTTCCTGTCGTAAAAAAGCATGACACATTTATGCACGTTGCATCTATTAGAATTTTTTATGTAAAACGAGTCAAATAGAGGGCACACCTGGTTATGACAAGGTCTTTCCATTTTTTTTACACGCTTTATATTAGCTTCTCTTGTATGTATGTTTGTAACTGACTCCTTTAGACGCGATTTTGACCCACTTTAAACGGCCAGATTTCATTCAAACTTTATAGATTTATCGAGGATATTTTGATATTCTTTGATTTGATTTGATATTTTGATTTGAATTTGATAAGATTATTCCATTATTCAATTTGCAAAATAATTTTTTTTTGCCAATTTATATAATTTTTATCTATAGTCGATAAGGCAGGAATTGATGTTAAAGTACTTAATAGTTTTAAAAATATGCTTTTGTAGAAAATTTAACTAAAAAATGAAAAATAAATTTTAATAAATTTAAATTGAAAATAGTGTAAAAAAATTATATTTTATTGTAAAAAAAGCGCGGGGTGCATGGTGTTATTAGTTATAAATGTTTTTCTGGTGTGTATGAGTAGAAGAATTATTATTTCAATAATATCTTAAAAAGCACCCCACTTTTTACACTATTTTCAATTTAAATTTATTAAAATTTCTTTTCTATTTTTTAAGTTGAATTTTATATAAAGCGTGTTTTTTAAACTATTATTTATTTGTAAGTTCTCTTTGGATATTCTCGGTGTGGTAAACTTTGATTTCTCTTTGTTTCAGGATCGAGATAGCAATCTTACAGTGCCAGCTCGTTGGGAGGATAAGAATCTTCGAAACTACCTTAACAAAAAATCGATCAGTGAGTACAGTGACTTAATCAGTCAAAAAATAATAATAATATTAAGCCATTTTCAATAGAAAATCACATAAGATAAAGTGTATCCACGATGCTCACTGTTGGCAGCTTGGTGACAATAATGTACATATACATATATTGTGGATATGAATGCATCCAATTCACTTAACCCACTTTTTTTATTGCTATGATGGGTGGACGAGCTCACGGTTCACCTAGTGCTAAGTAGTCACTGGAGCCCATAGATGGCGGCATTTACGTTGTAGATGTTTATGGGCTCCAGTAAACACTTAACACCAGGTGGGCTCACAGCCAACGATCCAGCTCGTCCAACGATCTAACAATAAAAAAAATAATTAAAAATCTGACTTTTTCAACAGAGAAATATAGTCGTTGGATCGGAGGAATATACGATTCCGGCGATAAGGAATGGAAATGGGGCGGCGAGCTTCGGAAGATGCACTACCAGTCCTTCTCAAAAATGAAAAAGATGTCACCCCAGGAGCTGCAGTGGCACTGCATCGCTATGATCCCCGAAATGCAGTACAGGTAGGGGTATTAAACATCTATATATTTTAAGGGTCTTGTTTTGGGGCGATGTGTATGATAATGCACTATCTTCTTAAGTTTGTCCCGCTGTCTCAATAACTCCGACTGGACTCCGGCCCGGTCCGGGGTAAGGCGCCGGCTGTGAGCAGCAGGAATTTTTAGTGAGGTTCAACTCCCACATACTGCGCGGATGGGGATCCGGCGATTTTCTCCTGTGGAAAAATCTTCTTAAGTTTATTACATTATTTCGGAGAACGCTAAAATTATAATATCTTATAATATACTATTATACCTTATTATATTAATATACGTTATTTAATTTGCTTTCGTAATAAAGCTGCAACGGAGAAATATTTTCAAAACTCATCTGAGAAAAAACACATCGCAGTAAAACGAATAAGATGGTGGTAGATGGTGATTTTGGTAACAAATTCTTTAGATTCTATGGATTATTCCGGAGAAAGTCCAGGACCTGATCTCATATGGTCAAAAGGGGTAGTGGTGTTCACAACTATTTATATTCGCATAGACGGAACAAACTGTACTCTTTTACACCCTAACTACCATTAAACTTTATGTACAGGGGTGGATTTACACTAAGGGCAGTCGGGGCAAGTGCCCAGGGCCGCAATTTTTTTTAAGGCTGCAAAATTTTGAACTTGAAAAAACTTTTCTTAGTCTTATCAAGATTGCTCAATATAATTAATTAATTCTATCTATATCCTTAGTCTGGCCATAAATACTGTTACAATTAAAAATAAACAAAATATTACATTTGAATTTGGAATCTGTCATTTTTATATGATTGCTCATTGAGTTTTCTCATTTTGGCGCCAATACCTTGTACAATATTTTGCGATATTAAAATGGAGTGGGGTGATAAAGAGAACCGAATCGCTGTGATTGCATTACACAAAGTAGGTATGGAGCCAAATGCAATTTTTAAAACTCTCCATACGCTTGGTATTAGTAAAATGTTTGTGTACTGGGCTATTAATAGGCGCAATGAAACCTCCTCTGTTTGTGACAGAAAAAGATCTGGCCGTCCACGTAGTATTCGTACGAAAAATGTGGTCAAAGCAGTAAGGGAAAGAATTCGAAGAAATTCTGTCCGAAAGCAAAAGATTTTTATCTCGAGAGATGAAGATAGCACCTAGAACCATGTCGCATATTTTAAAAGATGACTTAGGACTTGCAGCCTATAAGAGACGTACTGGTCATTTCTTAACTGATAATTTAAAAGTGAATAGGGTGGTAAAATCGAAACAACTACTGAAGCGGTGCGCAAAGGGAGGTCATAGAATTTTTTTGTTTTTCGGATGAGAAAATTTTTACAATTGAGCAACATTTAAACTGACAAAATGACCGTATTTATGCTGAAAGCTCTAAGGAAGCTTCCCAATTAGTAGACAGAGTCCAACGTGGGCACTATCCAACTTCAGTGATGGTTTGGTGGTGTATTAGCTATGAAGGAGTGACTGAGCCATACTTTTGTGAAAAAGATATCAAAACATCGGCACAAGTGTATCAAGATACCATTCTTGAGAAGGTAGTGAAGCCCCTTAACAACACTATGTTCAATAATCAAGAATGGTCCTTCCAGCAAGACCCGGCGCCAGGTCATAAAGCTCGCTCTACGCAGTCTTGGTTGGAAACGAATGTTTCGGACTTCATCAGAGCTGAAGACTGGCCGTCGTCTAGTCCCGATCTTAATCCAATGGATTATGGTCAGTTTTAGAGAGTACAGTTTGCTCTAAACGCCATGATAATTTGGAGTCCCTAAAATAATCCGTACGATTGGCAGTGAAAATTTTTCCCATGAAAAGAATGCGTGCTTCTATTGATAACTGGCCTCAACGTTTAAAGGACTGTATTGCAGCCAATGGAGACCACTTCGAATAAGCTTTTTATACTTTAAATTGGTTTATATTTATGTATTAAACTAACACACTGTAAAAGTAATAAATGTTATTTGCAATAGAATTTTTTTTTCCTTTGTCACACTATTTATGGCAAGATATAAATGAATTGCTGTTCGTTAGTCTCGCTAAAACTCAAGAACGGCTGCACTGATTTGGCTAATTTTGGTCTTGAATTATTTGCCGAAGTCCAGAGAAGGTTTAAAAGCTAGATAAATATGAAATTTCTCGGAATTAAATAAAGTTTAGGTCTTTTATTTATCGATTCAGGCACTACGAAGTCTGCCGGGTCAGCTAGTTAATTAATAACTTTCTGTTTAACTGATAATTCCAGAAATTCAATTCATCCATTATTTGTGACTTATAATTCTGGCACTTTTGTTAACTTGTGAGTCCGCACGGGTACCTACCACCACCCCGCCTATTTCTGCCGTGAAGCAGCAATGCGTTTCGGTTTGAAGGGTGGGGTAGCCGTTGTAACTATACTGAGACTTTAGAACTTATATTTCAAGGTGAGTAGCGCATTTATGTAGTAGATTTCTATGGGCTCCAGTGACCACTTAACACCAGGTGGGCTGTGAGCTCGTCCACCCATATAAGAAATAAAAAAATAGTAAAAAACTCTTTTCCGAATGCTATTACGATCTCTCAACAACGTTGAAGATCTACGAACACCGGTGACTTCGAGACTCGCCAGTAAAACAACTCTTATTAAAAATTCAAAACTAAACAATCGATCTAACGAAAATAAATAATTGCACTCAAATAAATAAACGTTCACTCTTGCAATCATAGCGGTTGAAAGACGTCTACTCGAGGATATACAAGTGTTAACGAAATCCAGTATCGGGAATGCACTGACGTCATCCGAATCACTAGAGGAACAAAATCTGTTACTTCTCAAACAATACCTGTCAGTATAATCAAATGAATAAAGTTTTACAACAAAAATACAGAAACACATATTAACAAAGAAGCCGTTTAAAATTGCAAGAGCTGTAGTATCTAAGTATATAGCAAATCTAAACGTGTGGTTTGTTTGTCGCTGAAGATCGTGGTTAAAGATTTTTCACATACTTTTTTTTATGAAGTTTAAACTAGACATACTATTATTTGAAGTCGTCGTGGCCTAAAGTATAAGATGCTCGGCTTAATCGCATCGAGCAATGCCACTGTGTGACGATTTTTTTTCCCCCTACCTATGCTGATAGCCTTGAGAGGCTATTTCCGCTTCACCCTAACGTTTGTAGGTGAGCTCACGGGGCTCAACCGGAGAGTTGCTAACACTGACCCTAGCAAGAGCAGTGCTTCGCAGAATCTACCACCGGATCGGAAACGCGACCCACTGAGAAGATCCGGCGAGAAACTCAGTGGGCTGTGTCTATGGGTTAGTTCGCTCGTCGAGCCCTTCGTCGCAAGCGACGGGTTCGACGAGGANGATTTGCACAATGTGAACACTAGGAACAAACATAGGCTTGCGTTGCCGGCGGCTCGAATTAAGAAAATAAGCAACTCTTTTAGGGGGCTGGGTGTACAGCTTTTCAACAAGATCCCACTAAACGTTCAACTACTACCTGTTCATAGATTTAAGAAAACTGTTAAGGAACGTTTGTGCAACAAGGCATATTATAAAGTTACTAGATGGCACTACGTGGGAATGAGGCGCTCGCTCCTGGCCTTTTCATTTTTCATTATTATTATATATTTTTTAATTGTATTTTTTTGACTTGTTTTTTCTTTTATTGTGAATATTTATTAATCTATTTATTTAAAAAAAAGAAAATATTTGAGAAAAAACAAAAAACAAAAAAAGCCCGCTGAGTTTGTTTCGCCGGTTCTTCTCAGGACTGTGGCTTTTTTTGGAACCGGTGGTAGAGTTAACATTGTTATTTGTATTTTGACATTCAACAAGTGTGTCATACTGACATCTAAGTTGAAATAAATGATTTTGAATTTGAATTTGAATTTGATCTAGGCTCTGTATGAGTTCGAATATTTAATTATTAACGGCAAGAGATATTGGGTTCTTATTTAGCGTTCGCTGTTTTTTAGTGCTAATTATCGTGAAGGCGATATTTTAAAGTAATAAATTCATTTTGTGAATCTCGGAAAGATTTCATTATCAACGAACCTATTGAACGATTTATAGTTTTTGGCATTTACATACTATTTTTAGACAGCTGCGCAATAATATTATAATCATTTTAATTGTATCAATGAGTATTAATTTGTATAATAGCATCCGATCACTAAAATTATGTAAGTGATAATTGAAACGCAAAAATGTATATATATGCAATATACTTCTTTCCAGTAAGGTAACATGAATATTAAGGTCACTCTGTACAGAGTGGCTAGAGATCAAGACTAACCACTAGCTATTATTACGTATATAATAATATGTTCTATGTACCGAGCTGTTCTACAAAGAGGAAAGAAATACTTCGAGGATAGATATTTCGTCCTTTTTTTCAACGAGGTCTGGTTTTTCTTGTGTTAAGTCACTATCAGAGCCCATAGACACCATAACGCGAATTTCTTAGCTGACTTTGAGACATGAGGTCGATGTCTCAACTGCAGAACGGTAGAGCGGTAGACTTCTTCGAATCGGACGCATAGCTAATCCACTACAGAAAATAGTTACTTTTTCGAATTCCGAACCGGATTGTTTTACATATAGCTAACAGATATGTCAAACGGATAATAATCTTTATATAATCTTTCTAAGTTCAAATCAGCTCTAAGTTAAGTTAAGCCAGCTCAAAATTCAGTTAAGAAATCATGAAGCGTTTATATATTTTTGTTATAATACTCCATCAAATTAGTTTAAATACTAAGAGAATATTAGAATTTAAAAACAAAATTCAATGAGCAGAAAAAACGATATTATTCTATGCACAGAGAGACTACGTACTACTCACATGATTACGTTTCACCTACGCACAATTTGTACTTGGCATGACTTTTATGCAATCGACGACGGGGCATTGGACTCTGTCCTTTGTACATTTATTATATCCTCTAATAATTCACAAGCGACCAATGAGATTCATTAATTTGTCGTTAGTGTTTTAATATATTTATTCAACAAACGATGACACGTATGATATAATGTAAGTTGCAATAATTTAATATCGGCTTACTGAAATGTTGGGACAATTTTGTAAATCAGTTTGCTAGTTTGCTGTTCCTTCAAAAACATATCTATGATGGAAAATCGTAAGATAATTGTGAAGTCATAGTTTCATGAAAGGTAACCTGAGTACATTAGAGCTCAAATCTTTTATTTTTTATGTTTAAAATGTACTTTTTCTAAGCAAATATGTATGTTGCATACATTCATGAAAGATTTCCACGATGTAGGAGCAACAACGTGTAATTAAAAAAAAAGATGTGTGGTGTCGTCGGAAACTGGATAGGAACGAAGTTCCTTATTGTAAAAATATTAATTTTAAGTTCTATTCGAGGTATAAAGAATTTGGGTATACATTTTTTATTATGATTTTTTTATTGATAAAAAAAAACTACTTTACAAAGTTATCAACTTTATTTTATTCACAATGATTTATAAAAATATATATAATAATAATATAGAAAGAAACAGCTATTTATATGAATAATAACAGTCATCACGTAGACTATACATTAGACACTGTATAGCCATCATACTATACATAAATAATAAAAATCTTACGTTACGGACGTTTTTTCCCGGTTAGGGTACCCCTACGCATCGTCCCTTATGGAACTTCGTTCCAAAATGAAAAAGAAAAAATAATAGATTTGCGATATTACTGATGGCAGTACGCATTATGAGTCTAGATAGGTAGATGGGTCACCATTTAAGTATATTTCTGCCGCGGAACACGAACGCAGAGCGATTGGATGGATGAAAAAGCCGTTACTCTCATGTTTTCAGGATGGTAACTTCGTTGTGATGCTTATGTACTCCGGTAATCATTTAACATCAGATAGGCCGTGAACTCATCTCTTATTTAGTACAATAAATAATAAATATCAATCGGTTATTAGATTGAATGATGTAAATAATCCGAAGTTTTTAGAATCGAGGACAAAATATGTAAATTGATGCCAATTGCATATATCATGTTTATAGGTCAACTGAACTATTAACCACAAAAAAAACGTTGAGGAAATTCGATTTCAATTAATTTTCAATGATCAACGATATTATTGAGAATAACAAAACCAATTAATTAACAAATTAGGGTCAATTGGAGTGCGGTCACAATATTATTGCTCTTGCATGTGCAATCTGAAACAGCGCGCCGATGAAATTTCAACTGTACTCAATTTATTTTTATTTGTTACCATCGATCGCAATTGCTATTGTTACTGATATCGATTCATAGCAATATAAATAAACATAACAATTAACTATTCCGTTTTATTTTCTTTTGTTTTTTGTACGACGCTTCATAATAATAGTGCATTTTGTCGATTACTTTGGAATATAGCAATAAAAATAATTTGAGTATTGCAGAACATTATTACATCCGCTATAAAACAAAAGTCACGGCATCTCAAAAACCGCATTATTGTTCATAATTTTGGTAATAAAATACCATGCGTGATACATAAATATATCGACATTTCATAATGTTCCATTCGGTATATTTTGCTTTTTGTTGATATTTATACATAAAGTTTTCACATTTCAGAGCGCGGTGAATGTACCCCTCACAGGATGGATGATGAATTCCTGATTAGATTCCTTCGTGCTCGAAATTTCATACCGCAAAAAGCTCATAGATTGGTGAGTAAATACTTTGGTGCAAGGAAAATAAAAGTTTTTCAACATAGCGTCTAGGATGACTCAGGGGACCACCGTTTAGCAATCGATAGATTCTGATGTAAGACGGATCAGCTGCCAATCTTAAAAAAAATATTCAAACGAGAAATCATTAACATTTTGTGATATCAATTTAAAGAATTTATTTATTTATTTCTTAGATATTTTTCTTAGACATTGCGGGTACAGCTATTACAAATATTAATGCTAGTATTACAGTTGCGGTATTCTACAACTAATCAATAAATATTTTAAGCGAATAGAGGTTGTTAAGAAAATAACAAAAGGAAAATAAAAACTTACATTCTCAAAAGCCTCTATTATGATTACAGCTCGTAAACTACTATCACTTCAGAGCAGAGAATCCGGATTTGTTCGAGAACATTCACCCTATGGATCTTCACGCCATCGGGGACGCAGATATTATGACGGTACCACCGTACCGCGGACCCGATGGGCGCAGACTCATTATATATAAATTTGGTAATAATAATCATTTGCTACAATAATGGACGAGTGACACAAAAGAACAATGATAAATAATAAACGAGCGGTTTTTGTCGTCATAATTTAAACCCGTTCACAAAGAAAATCACTTGAAATGAAAAATAAAATATGTAGTTAAAAAATGAGAATTTTATTCACGAGATTGAATACAATTTGAATGTAATCAGTTTTTCGAATGGAATCAATTTTTGTTTCTCAGAATGTCGAAAAGCCGCTGTAAGGATTCTTGGGATTCTTAAATTTGAAAACTCTGCTTTTATTTATTTCATTTCTGTGTAATAGCAAAATAGGAGCCCGTAGGTATAGATAATTATAGATCGGGCATTACTTTGAGTTTTCAAAATTTTACTATTTACCACACACGTACTGGGAGCTCGCGTAGGTAGTTATTGCCATCGTGTCTATTTCTGCCATGAAGCAGGTATAATATATGGGAAAACCATTTTCATAAATATCAGACTTTTGCCTTGATCAGATCTTAAGATGGCTGCTAGCGTTCACCATGTCATGTCTATCGGTTCTCTTATTTACTTCACACCAATAGTTCCTTTGTTTGAAGCTAATGACTGCAAAAAAATGATTAAAAAAAAACACTTGGTAATTATTATTCCATAGTTAAACCATTTAAAAAAACAAATAGTAATCTAATTTCCATTTTAGGTAATTGGGACCCAAAGACCATTTGCGTGGAAGAATTGTTCAAAGCAACAATCCTTAGCCTAGAACTGGGTATGATGGAGCCGCGTACTCAGATCCTGGGGGCAAGTGCTCTGGTCGACCTGGAGGATCTTGGCTCCCAGCATGTGTGGCAGTGTACGCCGTCTGTGGCAGCCAAATTACTCAAGATACTTGTGGTTTGTATTAAAAGACCATATTTTACCAACATAAAGTTGTTTTAATATTAAGGTCACAATTTTAATTAAAATATCAATTTTTTTTCTTAAATTTTTATCTAATATCATGTTTCTCGACAGAATTGCTACCCAACGAAGATACACGCGATCCACATAATCAATCACTCCTGGATCTTCGACAAAGCTTACAGCGTTTTTAAGCCATTCTTGAACGACGTCATGAAATCGAGGATCTATTTCCACGGTAATGACGTCACATCGCTTCACAAGCACATCAACCCGGACTATTTACCCGAAAGCTATGGCGGTGTCTGGCCGGATTACTCCTACACTATTTGGTTGGATTCTTTGCGTAAAAACGTGGTCGTCGCCAAGGAAATGATATCATGTGGTTACAAATTCCGTGAACATGAATTAAACCAAGACGTCCTTGAACATTTGACTAAGGAAGGCATTCAAATATCCTAAATAATAGAGAGTATGTTTCCTATGTTTCTATTAAGTTTTTTTTTTTTAAATCTAATGCCTAGATTTTAAAAAATTTCGTAATTATAAGTTAGTAATGAGTAAGTCGAACATGTTCTTGCCTTTTAAGTTTAGACAATAGTTTTAAGATTTTATTTGACATAGTTTTTTACTGGTAGTCTTTATGAAAATTATTTTTAATTTTTTATTTCTATTTTGTTTTTATTATATTTAGTTAGAGTCTCAGTTGCCATCATAAATGCCTCTTGTAAATACATTTGGTTAGAGACACAAATACCAAATAACTACAATAAAAAATAAGTATCTGTATTTATAATGGTCTTCAAGTAAATCTAAACTCTTAAAAAAAAATTCGAATTGCTTCACAACAGTTTGATTTGGCGATTGGTTTAAAAAAAGTATTTTGCTTTTCCGAAATTCATCAACTTAATTGAATTTCGTAAGATTTTGGATGCTAGAATAGTGTTTTAAAAAAGTATTTTTCGCCTCCTGTAAGCAATAGCGCAGAGGGGCTCGGGCTTTGGTTCCAGGTCGAAGTCAGATGTTTTGATAATCCTTATGGTATTTGGAGTCAGGGTACGATTGCATTTGACTTGCATATCTAAAGGTGTGATTCCGAACTCGGCAACAAGCAGCAGTTGCTGCAGTGCTGTCACTAAGGTACTGCCCAGCAGTGACGCGTCTGCCGCCGCAGCAAGAGTACCTACGTGAATGTGTTGGTCTGTCGCGGCGGTAGGGCGACACTGACGCGTAGCAGTCCTGCCGCTACATTGCTACCGCGACACTGCTGCCTAGCTCGGAATGTAATCTCATATAAGCTTATAGAGATTGTATGGGGACCAATAGTGCCGCGACAACACAGCTGCGGCAGAACTGTTGCGTGCAGCGTAGTTCGGAATCATATCTTAAGTTTCCAGCGCCCATAACAAGGAGCTAATCCTAGTTTGTTGATTGTAGGTTTATTGAATGTAGGATTAAATTTTAACAAATTTAGTTAATCATAATACTAATTAGGTTAATAAACTTATGTAAATAGTTTTTAAGTACGTTCGTCAAACGTCTGTGATAAAATAGTAGATGACATTTAGTGCGCTTTGAAAAATATCGCAAAGTCAACTGTGTGAATGCTTTGGCAAATTTGGTTCATGAAATGTGCGTTTGTATGAAAATTATAAAAGTGCATCCAATTCGTTAAATGTTATATTAAACGTGGAAAATATTCTTTGAACAGAAGACAGTCTAGACTGTGTTTCTTTGAGCAATGAATTCTAAATTAATTGGCCTTGTGTATCTATTAATCGATTATGGCCATAGTGCAGCTGCAGATTGTGTTGATTCCCGCGTTTTTGTGAGTGTGGTATTTGGAAAAAAAATTGGTCATTGTGTTATTATAGCATCTGAAAACTGTTACTATTTTTTTCTGTGTTGTGTTATCATATTGTTATCATTCAACGGTGATATATCAACGGTCATTGTGGTATCATAGCATCTGAAAACTGTTTCTGTTTTTTTTCTGTAAATGCCTGTAATTTCTTGATCCTTGTTTGTTGATACTACGATATCCAAATGATTTTTGCTGAGATGATTTGTCATGAAGTGATTGATCTAATATTCTTGTTGATGCTTAGGAAAATAATAAATAAAATTATAACACTACACACGAACGCGTACCAAACGAAAAACCAAATTCGATGTTATGATTACGATGTCCATAATTTAAGTAGATATTCTTCATGAGCATGGTATGAATGATTCAGTAGTAAATCTTTTTATTATAGTTTTATATTCCTTAATATTGTATTACATTACTTAAGCTTGATCGTTCATACGAAAATAAAATTAAGGTTAAATAAAAAGAAGATGTGGCTTTTATTGTGATTCCTTTGATATATTATGCAGTTTTTTAAGGTTATACAAACAAAGTTTGAAAGTGAATCTCTCGAATTCAACACTTTTTATTGTTTATCACATATATTTTTGAAATATGTTTTAATTTTATTTCCATTGTAGACAATCAAAGCAAAGATAGGGCCCACCCGAAGGTAAGTAGTTCCGTTGCTCATAGATGTCAGCAATGGTCAAGCTTCTGCCCACTCAGGCTGTCGTGCGCGTTATACAGGGTGTCCCACAATGAGTATGTCGAGCCAAAACATGGCTATAGTATCAACAATGTAGATCACGTTAAAAACACGAACTATCAGCTTTTAACGGCTTTTCTTGAAAATGTTAGAATTTTCCAACTTGAGAGACTGGAGATTTCTTTTTTACCTCAATTTATAATCCCACTATGTACTAGCAATTTATTAGCTTAATTTAATTTGTTATTATCTGTACGCTCTATATGTTTCTAGCACATGGCGGTGTATGTTACCTCATTGACCGGATGTTTTAGTGTTTGGAAAGAGTGCCTAATAGATGGCGCTGTATTCAAAGTTACAAATTAAACAATAAAAAGCGTTTAATATATTAGTAAGTAAGGTATTTAATATTTCATTTATAATAAAAACGTATTTAGATAAAGTTCAATGTTTGTCCCCTATGCGTTCCTTGGTTGAGGTACGCTGTTTAGAAAAGGATTTTATCACAGTACCATCAACGTAAATGGTGCGTGAATAGTTTAAAGATTCGATAGTTTTCACAAAATTAATCATTGAACAGCAAAGCGTGACCATGTTTACTAGTTTTCTTTCATATTCATTCAAGGAATTCATAGTAACTATATTGAATACTAAAGTGCTCACATGGTTTTGTACTAACGTCTATGTAGGCGGCTGTTCACTTTGTAGTGTCAATGGCTCTTCTCCAAGAGATGAGCCGTTAGCACATCTATGCCAACAAAAACTTAGCAATTCATATTTCTTTATTTATAAATCATTATAGATACGAACGTAACTATTATGTTTTCATGCCCGAACCACTGAATATATTTTGACGATTATAAAGATTAGAATATTAGGATTAATGTAGGTTACCTTTAGTATAGATATATCTATAGTACGCAGGTGACGCTGTGAGCGGTAAGCTAGTTAGTGTCCTAATAATAGATGTTAAAGTATGAAATGGCCGTTTTATTGTAATAGGTACTTCGAATTCATATAGAACCTTCATTGTTTGAGATTGTTGAGTGAAACTTTTTTCAAATGGTACCTATGAGATTCTTCTTTTAAAAATGTGCAACATTCGATTATCGACTTTCAGTTGTTTTTTTATTCATCTTAGACAAGAAAGATGGACACTTCGAAAATATGAGTGATTTTTGAATACGACGCGGAAATAACGCTGCAGAAACATCTCGCAATATCAATGTTGCGTTTGGAGAGGGGACTGCTAATGAACGCACCGTGTGATTTTGGTTTAAACGCTTTCGTGATGGAAATTTTGATTTGAAGAACAAACCACGTGTAAGACACACATGTGAATAACAATGAATTGAAAGAGATGGTGAAAGCCGATTCGACCCAGCTACCCAGGAATTAGCGGCATGGTTTAACGTTACCTTACCAACAATATTGACTCATTTGCGTCGAAACATAAACTAAAAAAAATATGAAAAACGGGTGCCTCATGATTTGACTGATCTGCAGAAACTCGTGTTGAAATTTGTGTTGCCTTTTTGAATCGATACAGAAATGAATGAGTATTGGATCGAATTGTGACATGTGATGAAAAGTGGATTTTTTACGATAGCCGTAAGCGCAAAATGCAATGACTGACCCCAGGTCAAACGCCGCAACAGTGTCCTAAAGCAAAGCTTACAAATAAAAAGGAAATGGTAACTGTTTGGTGGTCTCAGCATGGTGTTATTCGCTATAGTTTTCTCCAATCTGGTCAAGCAATAACGGCAGATTTCTACTGTGCTGAACTCCGAACAATGATAGCAAAACTTGCAGTGAAACAGCCCTGACTCATGAATCGATCTTTACCATTATTGCTCCATGATAACGCGAGACCTCATACAGCACGAGAAACCGTTTTCACTCTACAGGAACTGCAATTAGAAATCATTCGTCACCCTCCTATTCGCCAGATCTTGCTCCAACGGACTACCATTTTTTTCGTGATTTGGACAATTTTCTACGGGATAAAAGTTTTCTTCCCAGGAGGCAGTACAAAATGCTTTCAAAAAATCCTTCCTATTAGATGGCAGCAATGTAAAGATAATAATGATAGATATTTTGATTAAATAAATATGTTAAATGGAAAAAAAAACAATTTTAAGTTTTCAGTACATATCGGTAATTTCATATTTTAACCCCTAATATAAATATGTAAAACAAATGTTAAAAATGCTTCAAAATAATAAAAAAATTTCATTCCCTGTTTGGCTTGTATGTGTACAATTATCAAAAATTAGGAATCGATTTTTATAATTGACTTCGAGAGGTTTCAGTTCGGCCCGTATATTTTTAGTTTCAAATTAATACTAGAATAAACAATTCAGTGCTCATTATGTATGTATAATTGTAATGAATGACTTTGTTGAAAGAATCAATGTCGTCAAAAGCAGCTAGGACATTTACCTCTATGTAAATATTTTCGAATACAATCACACAAAGCTTTACCGAAAATATAAAGTGAACGTTCTATTTGTGAAACCTTGGAAAGGTGAAGAAACTCAAAAGTATTGCCTCCATTTCATTAATTTAATCTAACTACGGTGTTTGAACCATCAGATGTAAAAGCTTAATAAAGCTTTAGGATCTGCATCAATAAACCATTCATCATTTATAATTCCCATGATTCACTATTTCAAGTGTAAGAAGACATGATAATATTATCGTATGATAAATTGGAATGACCGTTCGCTACGATTTATTTCGTTTAAAATGCTGGCTGCCCCAAATAACTTACTATAACAATATGACTAAACAATAGTTTTAAAATAAAATAAGAAATGCTTTCTTGGAATTTAAAAGTAAAAAAAATTGAATCTCCATATTCATTGCTCATTCCATAGTGACCGCCGGCTTGTTGAGACGGTTTCTTCCAAACGTCAG